CTTTTATATATGTCATAAAGATTCTAGTCATAAATGTTATCATGTTCATATAAAGCAAGACAATCAGGGTGCACCTCCTGGACTTGACACTTTCTTCCGGAGCGCAAATATTTGAGTCATTACTAGCAAGACCGTAAGCGCTGGAAATTATGCATTGGAAAATGAATGAAGTAAAAATTTCCACCTTGCAAATTTCCCGTTGTTTGCCTTGACAGAGGGAAGGAATACAACGTTTACTTCCAATCTATGAAAGATCTGATGAGAAGGTGTCAACGATCAACACAACAGGTTCAAATTTACATGCATTTATTTTTGTCTGATTTAAAATTAATCTTGCATTTGTTCCAAGTATTTTGAAGTATTTTTTCATGGAAAGTATTTCCCAGCGTATTAATGAGGGGCTCGATAAATTCGACTAATGAAGTCATCACATACTCAGATTCAGTCGACCCTCAAATAATATTCAAAACTCGGAAATTCAATGCGCGTTGTTCAGATTTCCAGATATGAATTTTCGAATCATTCAAAGACTTACTCGGAATCGTAGAGTTACTGTTTCATGCGTTAGAGTTTAAAATTTCGCAGGACAGAACATTGCTTCGGGCAGACTTTCTAGAATTTCTTTCCATTTGCTCTTTGTGAATTTGAAATTGCAATTTTGACAAGTAACGAATCAGAATTTGGTCGCTGGAAATATTTTCAACATTCATTTTCGAACATTCGAATCATTCGCCTGCGACTGCTTTACTGCAAGATGTAACATTGCAAATTTTTCCGAGGTCTAGTGCAAACTATGGCGGAGCGATGTGAGTCACGCTCTCGAGAATTTTTTCCACTAATTAGCTATTTTTTTGTAAGTCAAAATTAGCAGTTTATCCGTTTTATAGTAATGCTAGATGGGAGGTAGGGGTTGTGTTTGGAAACAAGACCACGAAAGTGCGTGATCGGATGTGTAGCAGCTGTAGTGTTGGTCATGCCGAATAAGTGATTATGAATATATATGATGTAAGATAATATATCTGTTCCTTTCCTCTTTACGGGTAGTTTTGTAAACATATTTGCTTCTCCTTTATGTTCGTCTAAGCTGTTGTGGCATTACTCTCATCTCTCATTTTGTCAACGGGATCATGTGCTTTTAAGAGCATCTGTGTGACAACTTTATCATCTATATAGTATCGGGGAAACCAAGCCCTTGAACGACCGAGGACCTTGGCGAAAACGAAGATGGTGAAAAGAAAGTCATCCCAAACTGAAGACGATGACTTGTTGCTGAACCGCCAACCTACAGATGATCGCGAGGAGGAGGTATCTTCGTTTTTTGGAGGCCCTTGGAGGGTAAACTTGATATCGCCCTTGTTATTTAGGATTGTTATTTAGGATTACGATGTTGCTGATCTCTCTTCCATTCCCGCTCCGAAGATCGAGTTTATTATGCCAAACTTGACCCCGCTAGAAGGTGCGAAGAAGCAACCACTGAAGGTGTTCTCAGTGATGGTTTTCCATATTTTTATCTGCACTAATCTTTTCATTGCAGAAGAAAAGCTCGAAGGCGTTAAGTACACCGCCATCATCGTCAGGGGAAACTCTGACATCAGAACAGCTCAATATGGAGGTGGGAGAATGGTTTGCATTTTTCACAAAAGCTGAGTCAGGCTGTGCTACATATTCCTCAAACCGAGCTGGGAGTACGACCGTAAATTTCCTCGTTCATTACGTTTTTTTAACCGCAGCTTATGGCAGAATTTTGAGAAATTTAGTTCGTTTATTTTTTAGATTGTTAGTTTTAGGTCTGAGCTATTAAGCAAAACCTTAGGCGGTGGTCCTGCAATGTCTTGTTCTTGCGACCCTTATATATTTTCGCTATCTACGCAAGAAAATTCTCTAATTGTAAGAGTTTTTTGGACAACTCGTAATCAAACGAGAATTAGAAAGATTTATTGTTTCAATCACCGATCAGTTATATCGACAGATATGTCTTCAAGTCACCTTCATTTTCCTCACAGATTGTTCATTTGCGACCTGTTGTGCGGAAAGCGCAGAACTTTCTGGCTCAGCGACTGGTGAGGAAGATGAAGCGATTAGAAAAATTGCTAGAAGAGAGGGAAACTGATGCCGTGAAACGGAAAGTGGCAAGATTCGAAGAGGAAATCCATTTTCTCAGAGTAAGTGCAAGTGAAAAAAGTTTTCATTTGTTATCGTTATAACTAGCTAGGTTTGAGCAAACACCACGGGTCTTCTCAAAAAGTGATCTTGTCGCTTGAACTCTCTTTTCTGCGGACTCGAGTCCTGCTTCACCTTCGTGTTGAGCACTGCCCTGCGAAAAATTTCTAATTTTCGCGAATTCATTGGAAGTGGCTCAAATGGGTCATAAAATTGTGTTGTTCTCATTTCTGATGACTCGAATAACTTTTTAATCTTTCGTAAAGATCCAATCAGATTGTAGCTCCTTTTATCCAAGATACAGAGTTACAAGATACTTGACAATTG